AATAAAGCTGCGAAAATTGACTAAAAATCCCCACGTGGGTGACGGACCGTCAATAACTGCAAAAAACCACTACGGACCGTGCGCATGTCAACAGAAGCACATACCTTCTTAGCTGCCTGCTTAAGCTTCTCCGGGTCCAGTGTTGATGGATCCACGTCCTCCCCTCCCGCACTTCCCCATGGCAACACCACCCCGCCCCCTGCAGCTGCTGCTTTTCCACTGCTTCCATCACACCCACCCTCACCACCTTCTTTCCCACCCTCGAACCCCCTCCTATCATCACCTAGAGCGCCTGCCAAACCAGCAGCTGTGGAGGATTCCGCAGCTGCCTCTGCGGCTTGGATGCCTGCCGAGCCTGTGCAATAGCTCAGGCGCAACATCTGATGGCAGCAGGAGTAGCCCCACTGCCCATCCTTCCAGTAGGATCCCCACACAGACGTGTGGTTGTTGACATACACATCCTCCTCGTACCTGGTGGCAATGAAAAATATACAAATATTGTGAAGAGAAAGGGCAATAATGTCAATAGGAATTGAAATGAGAAGGAAAGTAGAATGATAGATTCAGTAAACATCAATTCCGCCTTCATTTCTCCCTTGAATTCAGCCATTCAAGATGCTCCTCTCCCAACTAAGGGAATCAACATGCATTTGTGCATGTTGTGATTGCGTAGTTACCACCTCAGAGTATTTGCTCATTCTCACATATTGTACCTTCTCATTGACCTGATTCCACTCACAGGCTTGTACTGCTTTTGAGAAATTTCAGAAGCGATCCTGCCTATCTCGATGTAGAGTACCTGACTTTCCTGTATCGTCATCCTCGCGAGCTGGTTACCACCGCACGTACTTCGTTGACCACCACTGCGTTCACCTGCTGCTGTCCCTTCATAACGCCATTCCCTTCCTCCCTGCACACCCTCCAGTCCATTTTTGCATTACCACTGCGCGCACCTACCTCTTTGCGCGTACCTGCTTCGCGCCACCACCAGCTTCTCCTGTCCCTTCACCGCGCGTCCGCTCCGGTCGTACTCCACGGCCGTCTCCGTCTGCCCCAGCAGCAGCGCGCCAGTCACGCCGTTCGCCTCGGGATCCGCCGCCGCGTTGCCGTATTTCTCCCGCACCGCCTCGCGCTTCGCAGCCAGCAGCCGCTCCTTGCGCACTTTGAATTCGCGGTGCAGCAGCTCCGCCTGGCTCGGCGCGCCTTGCACGTGCACCTCCCCGTGCGCGTCGCGCGCCGCTTCATTCGCGCGAGCCGCGTGCAGCGCGAGCTGGCGAAACTCCACCGCCTGCCCGCTAATCCGATTGAAATTATCCCCTTTATAAAACTTCTCGTCCGCGTCGCATCCAGGATTCGGGTCCTCGCGCATCGACCGCGTCTTAGGGTCGTAGTACGCGGAGTTGACATCCAGATTAAGGAGGTATTTCGCCGTATCTTCGCGGATCCGCAGGTTGCGAACCGTCCCGGAGCTGCCGCCTCCCGTCGTCCTCACGCGCTTCTCCACCTTGGCGAAATCCCGCTGCTCGCTCTCGTCCACCCTCGCCTCATCCCTCTCCTCCTCCCCCCCTCCCTTCCCTTCTCCCTCTCCCCCCTCCCCCCCATCCCCCGCTTCCCCTGCTCCCCCCGCCGCTCCCCCCTCGCTGCTCAGCCTCCGCAGCTGCTGCTCCTTGCGGAACCTCCGCCGCGCCTCTTCGCGCACGCCATGCGCGGCGACGACGCGCGCGTACGTGGAGGGGTCGAAGCCGTTCCAGCGGTCGCGCTTGCCGTCGAAGTCGAGGTCGAACGACTCCACCTTCTCGTCCGCCGCGATCCACTGCGACGTGAACTTGGCGCCCAGCTTCCGCGGCCGCTCCGTGCACGACTTGTGGTCGTGCGTCATGGCGCCGCAACTGCATACGTGCACGAGGATTTGGGGGACCGAAGCAGATGGGAGGGGCATGGGGGGTTCATAGGCGCCTCAAAACAAGGGTCGAGCCCTTTCTGCTGGCCAGCCAGCCCGCTTGCCGTCGAAGTCCAGCTCGAACGACTCCACCTTCTCGTCCGCCGCGATGCCCTGCGACGTGTATTTCGCGCCCAGCTTCCGCGGCCGTTGGGTGCACGACTTGTGGTGGTGCGTCATGGCGCCACTGATGTGTGCATCCATGAAGTGAGATCATGGGGGGAGCGCCATGAGGGGATTGAGCAGAGAACCACATCACGGGTCAGGTGGACATGTCGCTCCCATCTTCGCAGCCTCTCCGTGCACGACTTGTGATAGTGCGTCATGGCGTTGCATTGCAGGTGCATAGTGCGTCATGGCGTTGCATTGCAGGTGCATGAATGCATGAGAGCGTGGGTGACACGAGGATGGGAGGGACGGAAGCAGAGGGGAAGGGGATGAATGGGGGATTTGTGACAGCATGAGGGGAGGGATGGGAGGAGAGGCGATCGTCATGAGGGGATTGAGCAGAGGAGAGCCATATTCACTGCAGCTGCGTGCATGACAGGGGGAAAGAGGGGGGATGGATTAAGGCCGCTTCTCTGCGTGCGTCATGGTCGTGCATCAGTGAGAGACGGAGAAGAGGGACGGGAGGAGAAGCGGGCACCAAGAGGGGGTTGAGCAGAGGAGAGCCATTCACGGCCCTGGCGGAAGCCAGGGGATGAACTGCAACGTCAAATTCGCGCCGAGCTTCCGCGGGCGTTCCGTGCCGGCTCGAGGGGGGACAAGGCCGAGATGGATTAAGGCCGTTTCACTGCGTCAGTGGCGTATTACGTGCTCCGTCGGGTCGACCCCGTTTCGCCCTCATGGCGAAGAAGTAAGACGGGTGACCCGTTTCTTCTTTCCCCCGTTTGTGGTCATGACTTGTTGTGCGTCATGGCTCTGCAGACGCATTAGGGGAGGCGAAGCAAGGGTCACGAGGGGCTGGCTAAGAAGAGCTCACCGGCGCATGGTACGTGCTCTGTGCACAAGTTGAGTGAGTGAGTGCGCGAGTGTGTGAGTGCGTGAGTGTATGAGAGATATGAAGGAGGGCGGGTTGGAGGTAAGGAGGAGGAAGGTGACGGATGGCTGCGTGCCTGCCACCACATGATTTCTCTTTGACCCACGACGCACATGGCATGAGCTAACAGTCCGAAATGCTGGTTCCGGCCTTCCATTATCGGGCAGAACTTTTGCTGGGGATGGGAACGGCAAGAAGGAAGCTCATTCGAGGCAGTAGCACTTGAGACACGACACGAAGTCAGCTCACACTCAATCAGCACTCGAGGAAATCTCTGAGCCCAGGAGCGGGGAAACTCACTTGGTGCAAGCGCCTTTGCGGTACTTGGTGGCTTGAAACACCTTGGCTCCACGGTCGTACCAGTTCTTGTTCTGCTGCCCACCCTCCGCCTTCCAGTTGCGCTGGTGCTTCAAACTCTGCACGAGCGCGCACGTGTACAATGAAACGCACAACAAATACACACCAAGCTGAAAATCGCCATGAGCTGAAAGAGCTGAAAAGACGCCATTTCAGCACATGAACGAGCTGTTTTCCTACATGGATGCTGTAACTAATTCTTCCATGCATGCCTTGCTGCTGGTGGGTATACAAGTATCGAAGTGGTGTTCACCGTACTACCTCCACGGGTCGTTTGGCGAAACCACTCACGGGTCGGTCGGCGTTGAGGTACCACGGCGCGGACGACATGTACTGCGGGATGTGCGGGTTGATCTCCTTGCCGTCCTCATCCACCTCCGCCGGCACCAGCCCCGCCTTGCGCGCCTCTTCGAGCTCTTTGGCCTTCTTGTGGTCCTCGCGCGGCTTGAACCCCACCGCTGACGTTGCCATCACGACGAATGCGTGTTTTTCCTTTCGGACCTTGCGGAGCAATGACCTTTCCTGTTCAGAACGCTTTTTTACTGCTGGCTGGTGGCGAGAAGAGACGATGATTGGGATCTTGTGTTTCCGCTGTGCGCTTGAAAGAGGTATGCAAGGTAAGCAAACTATGGAATCGGAAAGAAGAGTGCGTCCTGTTCCTGCTCGATTGTTACCCAAATGGTTGTCGTTCTGGCAATACTACCAACACATCTCCCTGATAGTACTCCGCACTAAAGAGTGCGCCTCCCGCGCAGATATTAGGCCACCAATTAATTTGTGAAATGAAAAACTAAGCTTTCTGAAAATCCGTCGTCTAGGAAATAACTGGCCTACTTTTATTTCTCTTTCCAGCCAAGTCGCAGAGACCTTCGCAGCATTTGGAGGTGGTTTTGGGCCGTGGGGAACAGAAGAGGGATGGCGAGGGAAGGAGTTGGGAGCAAGGCATCTTCTTCTGCCCAAACGAGACGGGATTGACACTGGTTTTGGGGCAAAGATTGCTGGCTTGGGAACAAACAACCACGAAATTCTAGTTTCGCGTGGAATGGTCAGGTCAAATGGTAAGTGCTGTGATACGATTGGCTGAGACTGACGGTCTTGGGTGGCGTCGTACATTCGAGAAGCTACGACGAGGGTGTGCGATTCGACTCGGCATGTGCGGAATACGCGTCTATGGCCAGACTGAAAGTCGACATTGAAAGTGGTCTGTACCTGAACATGAATTACTCAAAATCCGGGTTCAATTACGGTAAGATTAACTGATATGAAACGCAGGAAGCATTTTCAAAATCTCATACGGTAATCCTGCTTGTAATGTATGCATTTTAGAGGGTACTGAAACAGTTGCAATTGGAAGTCCCCCTGGCCCTAAGGTGCCCTGTCTGTTGGCTATCGGCTCCATAAACAAGAGTACATGAGTCATCATGAATCATGATGAATCATGATTCTAGCAAAAAGGTAGCTGCCTGAGTAACTAATGTGAGGACCCTATGCTACAGTAGCTCGTACCCAAGCACTGCTACAGCTAACAACTACTGAAATGTGAAGTTCCTTGAATATTCTCTCGCATTTCAGATGCACGGCAAGACATTTCATGATGTTTACGGGAACTACAAGTGACCTCTCTGGAACTGGACTGGACCCTTCATTCCCAATGAGCCATGGCAACTATGCCAAGGAGGCAGCTTGTGAGCATGTGACGGGGGCAGCTTCAGCCGCCGCCTGAGCTGCGAGCTGGTCGGCCTGCTTTGCCTCGGCGATGAGCGCATGCAGAATGCGAAACACGTCTTTGCGGTTCTCCTCCCGGTGGCTGTACCTGTCGATGCCCCAAGCATGCACATGCCCGACCATCCCCATACACACAAAAGTGTGCGAAAGCACAAACATTCCCATGGATACACACATACACACACAACACGATTATGAAACTCGTAACAGCAAGAGGAGGAAGCAAAGTCACATGAGATAAACAAGCACCGTGGGCGAACCAAGCAGCTTAGGTGCTGCACAACCGGGGCAAAACTGAGTCCCGTTCCACCAAAAAAAGTGCTGTTTGATCGCGAGCCTCACCTCTCGCTGACGATGGTGAGCTCATCGCGGTGCGTGTTGTAGCGCCGCCCCACCAGCGCCAGCAGGCGCTCCTTGGCGAGGCGGGACAGCTGCAGCTCGCGCACGAACACGCTCACCTTCACCTTGCGGTTTGCCGGGTGCCACGCGTCCCCTCCTGCCGGCAGCAAAGCAGGGGGCAGGCGAGGTGTGCAGCGGTTGTGGTGTGAGTGTGGTAGTGAGTGGAGGCAGGCACGGCTGATGGCGGCAAGGCAATGGCATGCCCTGCAACACAACAGCTGGTGTACGAAGGTGCGAGGAATCGAACCAAGGTTAGAGAAGAGATTCCAGCCATATAGAGCAACATCGTGCCATGCCAAGTTGGCAGCGGTGAGCAGCGTTGCATGCATGCGCTGCACTTACCCGGCCCCAGCACCATCCGTGTCTCCCATCTCAGCTCGGGACCCTCCCCTTCATCCTCCTCCTCCTCCCCATCGCCTCCTAACGCATCCGCTGCAGGATGCGGGGCGAATGAACAAGGGGAACAGCACAGTGGGGGTCAGCACAGAGGGGGTCAGCACAGAGGGTAAGCACGGAGGGTAAGGGCGCATCACCTCGGGGCTGGAAGGCCCAAATCCGAACATACGTAACGAATTCACTGTACGAACAGTTTCCCGACGAGATCCGAACACAAATTTGAACACCTTGGTGAATGTGACAGCTCGTGACTAGAGGTGACAGCCTGTTCGAACATGCGACGTCGCCAAGTGCTGGACGACTTCGCGAAACGTCGCAAAAAAATAATTCTGTCGTCTGCCATTCAAGTTTGACTCATTTTTCGCCCATCCAGTCAAACAGTCTCTTCGTGCTCTTCTACTACTGCTCACCTTGTTGTTTCCCAACAACAATGTCCTTTTTGATGAACTTTCTCCTGCATGGCGACATTTGCAATGGTCGCAAACATTCGAGTGCGACCCGAAGCCTGCTAACCAATAAAATCAGTCGTCCATGCGGAATTCCTGTCACCAAACCCAACTTTGTTCGAACAACTCTGTTCGAACGTGCGGAATGGAGAGCTTCGTGCCCCGTGTGACAACTCTGTTCAAATTCGCGAAATTTCCGACTAGCGACGTCACGAACACCCATACGAGGAGTGGCGAAAAATGTAACATTTCGCCTGTTCGAACAACCGTCCTGTTCGAACTGAGAGGTGAAGCGCCCTAAGCACGGAGGGTAAGCACGGAGGGTAAGCACGGAGGGTAAGCATGGAGGGTAAGCACGGAGGGTAAGCACGGAGGGTCAGAATTGTAGCAGAGAAGGAAAGAAGAGTGCAAGGAGGTTCAGGAGCGTGGCAGGAGCAAGTGCACCATCTCAATGACGCCTCGAGCTTCCTCACCAGTCTACTTTCCCTTTTGCTCAATCTCGGCGTTCTTGCCTTTCCTGCTCGTTCCCCTTCTGTTGATCGTCCCGACCTGACAACACGCCCATTCACCTGACAGCACCCCCCATTCACCTGACAGAACCCCCCATCACCTGACAGCACCCCCCATCACCTGACAACACGCCCCTTCACCTGACAGCACCCCCCATTCACCTGACAGCACCCCCCATCACCTGACAGCATGCCCCAGAGCGCGGGGTCGCCCAGCCACTTGTCGACCACCCCGCGTGCGTCGTACAGGTGGCGGTACTCCGCCTCGTCCGCGGGCTCCTCGAAGCCCTCCGCCTCCTCCTCTATGTCGTCCCCGTACGTCCCGTACTGCCGCCGCCTCCGCTGCCGCCCCTCCCCCCCGCCCTGCACCGCCGCCAGGTATGGTGCAATGGCCGCGGGCGGCGCTGGATCCGCGGGGAGTTGGTTCGGAGCCGAAGGAAATGGTTGGGGGCCGGGGGGGGATGGTTGGGGGCGGATGGAGAAGTGTCCATAGTGTCCCGAGAGGGGGGTTAGGTGAGGGATGAATAGGGACCGTGACGCGCGACGAGCGGCGACGTGGGGGTGAGCGGAGTGCGCAAGAGGAGGAAACACTCACAAAGGTCAACCGCTTCAGCCACGTCACCGCCCGACGCTTCTCCCTCCACCGCCACGGCTGCCGGCGGCAACTCGCCGCCCTGACCGTCGTTTTCGCTGCCGTCATCTCCGCCGCCACCCGCGCCACTGATTGCGCTCCGCCACCGCACTCCGCCCGTCCCCATTCCTGAACCTGCATTTCCGCCTGCTATCCTGAACCATCTCGAAGCGCCCGCGATAGAGAGTATCTGGGGCGAATCAAGCGCATGTGTTCGTTTATCGTCAAACTTGTGCGGTGACGGCTGCAGCGGGCATGGGGACGAGTCGCAAAGATCGGATCTCGTCGCGGGGGTGGCGGCAGCCGATGAGTGCGCGTAAGGGAAGAGAGCTGCCGGCGACGCGGTCGCCTGAGGCAAATGCCGGACGGATCTACGGATCGACGCGGACGTGACGCGCCACATGGGGCTGGGTCGACGTAAGTGCAGCGCTGACGATGTCGGTGTTGTGTTCGGGGAAGGCCTACAGAGTGGAGTTGTTGGCTTGGGAATTGGAGGAGGAAGCTTTGTTTGAACTCGTTTCAGACCGAGCTTCGAAGCTAGCAACGCAATAATATCATATATATTATGTTTAGGTGTAACGTACCAGAAAAGTGATCTATTTCTCTTTTCTTGGTGTGTTGCGTATGCCCACCTATATGGGTCCGCGTTGACAGATGGGGAATCCGACCACGTCCGACCCGGGTATGACCTAACGACTCAGCCTGGTTCCGGCTGTCCCACCACGGATCTTAGCCGTTCAATCCCTACTCAAGGGTATCCCTCGCTGGGGGAATAGGCTTCACCGTCTATATGGACAAGCACCGACCAGCTATTGCTAGGTGCACACAGGGGTTGATGGTAGAATCCCTTATATTATCAACGGGGAGATACAGAGTAGCAGCGGAAAGCGAACCATTGAATGATATTTCCCTTAGAATGATTCTACTCTTATACTATCGGGCCCGTCTATTCTACTAGACGGTTATTCCATCCCCACATGCGGCTTGAGAAACCGCATGTAACCTCCATGCATGCTCGCTGCAGTCGGCTGTATTCGGTTCGGCAACCGTTTCCAACCTCTTGCCGTTTGGACATCCTCGGTTGATCCTGCATGCATCCGGACCGGCTGATTCATGCCCATATCGGTCCAAGCGGCTTTAGCGACCGCAATAAACCTTCATTGACTCGGAAATATGATTCGTCGCGGCAGAACAATTGCCGTTCTGATTCGGCTGCTGGATCAGGAGTAAAACTCGATGCTCTGGCAGTTGCAATTGCAGCAGGGTGGTGGTGCATGAACGGTCGGGCGGTTTGGTCTCGCCTGGCTGTAATTGACGATCGACCTTCTTGGTTGAATCGTGGCCCAATTGTTGCAGTGTCTTCTTCTAGACAGTTATTCCATCCCCACATGCAACCGCATGTAACCTCCGTGCATCCTAGCTGCAGTCGGTTGTATTCGGTTTGGCAACCGTTTCCAACCTCCTACCGTTTGGACTTCCTCGGTTGATCCTGCATGCATCCGGACCGGCTGATTCATGCCCATATCAGTCCAAGCGGCATTAGCAACCGCAAGAAACATTCGTTGACTCGGGAATATGATTCGTCGGGGCGGTCCATTTGCCGTTACATAGGGGTCTTCTTGCAAATAGTGTCTTTTCGTTATGAGTGCAATTGAGAGAGAACAGAGATTGCACTATCGAAGCAAAACAGTACAATGAGTGAAGGTATGAGCTAATGTTTAAATAGCGAAGGCCTTTCGGCAACGCTAACGCACTCGCGAAGAGATGCCACTCATACCTGATGCCGAGGTTGGGAAATGGCAGAGCGTAGGATCGGGTTGCGGGTTACCAACCAAGCCGGGTGGTCTGGGCATGATGGGAACAGTGGCGGGTGTCAGAAGACTAAGTAAGGATGAATGCATTGAAGAGAAAGGTGGTACAAGTACTAACCCTAATTGGGTTATACCCCTTATGGGCTACCCCACTACAGCCTACACATATTAACCATTATAACAGTTTGACACACCCCCATAGGCAAAGTGGGGGAGAACAAGGGGTCACAAGACCAGTCAAGAAAAGCAAAGCAAGCTCAGGGTGGATCACGAAGTCACCACACACTCTAAGCACAAGCAAATCGCCACAAGACCAATTCACATGCATAGTTATATAAATGAGAACAAGTAATACAGTGATCACAACCTAGCAAGTGTCAGCATGCACGTAAAAGCATATAGATCACACTACAAGCAAAGTTAAGAAATGACCAAGTGAGAAGAAGCAGGCACAAGGCCTAAAACAGTACACAAACGCTGATGATCACCAGGCGGAAGTGCCTTGGTGAATATATCAGCAGTGTTGGCCCGAGTGGCCACGTAAGCAAGGCGAAGCTAGCCACACTGCTGTAACTCTCGAGCGAGGAAGTAACGCAGAGCGATGTGCTTCGTTCTGTGCTCCACTCTGTGCTCCTTACACAAGGCATGTCAGAACATTATAGCTTATACATTTGTGTAGGCTGTAGTGGGGTAGCCCATAAGGGGTACAACCCAATCAGGGTTAGCACTTGTACCCAACTCTTACATAGTTCAACCATTCTCGTTTCTCGTCAAGGCAATCATGGCCTTGTTGTCTACGTAAGAATCGGAGGAGAACGAGCCCGCTCTCCGAGGTCGTTTAGCAGGTAGGTGAGCCAGCGTAACTCCTGTGCAGCCATGGCCCCTGCGTAGATCTTAGCCTTACAACTGGAACTGAGAATAGAAGACGAGTGAGTAGACCTTCAGGAAACAGATCCGAAGCCAAGGCTGAAGGTGTAACCCTATGACGACCGCTGAGTAGCCAGGTCGACAACCCAACAAGTGTTAGCGTATCGATTGAGGACAACTGGACCCCGTCCTCCAAGCACGAGTCCCATGCCCGACATACTGCATAAGTAGCGCAACACCCTCTTAGCGGCCTTCTAGTGCTCTGGTCGGTGTCTCCCGGGCGCAACGTAGCATTCCAAGATGCTAAGAGTGTAGGCAAGGTCAGGCCGAGTGCAGGTCATCAGGTATATTAGGCAGCCCACAAGCTCTGGATTCGGGTCACTCGGCTCTACGGACTCGTTCGAAGGTGGAGCTGAGAGAAAGTGACCGGTAGGCGGAGGAGTGGAATATGGCAAGGAGAACTAGAAGCGGAAGTGCTGAAGAACCTGGTGCACCATGTGTGACTGAGTGAGGGTGATGGTGCGCCGTGCTCTGTCCCGGGTGATCTGCAAGCCAAGATAGCAGTGCAGCTCGCCCAGGTCTATGCACGTGTGTCTCTTAATGCAGTTCCGATTTCACAAAGGCTAGTGCCTCAGTGTCAGCAGTGACACAAACCAAGTCGTCAACGTACACGAGGATGTAGAAAGGCGGCAGCGAATTGCGGTGCGCAGAAACGGCGACGGGTCAGCAGTCGAAGGAGCAAACCCAAGGGCCGCAAGTATCGTCCTCAGTGTGTCATGCCACTTACGAGGCCCCTGGCGGAGATCGTAGACTGGCCACCGGAGGCTCCACAGAGTACGTGAAGGAAACGACCTAGTAAAGCCAAGTGGGCGGCGCAGCCAGATCTCCTCATGCAGGGTGCCCTGTAAGAAAGCTGTGCTAAAGTCAAGAGAGTGAAGCTCGTTGTCATGCTAAGCAGCGACTTGTAGCATCACCCGAAGATTGGTCATCTTCGAGGTAGGGGAGAAGGTTTGGAAGAAGTCAACTCCCTGTCGCTGATTGAAGCCTCGTGCGGCGTAACGAGCCTTGAAGACAAGTAGAGAACCCGGCGGCCGCTTCACCCAGAAAATCCACATGCCATCGACTATGTTCGCCGCAGGAGGGGGAACTGCATCGACATAAGTGCTTGTGGACTTCTAGGATGCCTTCTCTGTGTCCATGGCTGTCTGTCATTGAGAGGAGTAGGGACTTGTAATCGCCTCTTCGTAAGAGCGCGGGGTCGGGATGTCTGGTGCACTCGGGTGTCCCTCAGGTACAAGCAGCATGGATAGAAGATGAGGTACAGCAGCTGCAAGACAGTCAAAGTCCTCCTGCCTATCCTCAAGGACGTCCGTGCCACGAGAACACTCACCCCCGACCGATGGAGGACAGAGAGATTTGGACTTAGCAACAAGACTAACGGCGTAGTTGAGACGACAGCTAGCAGCAAAGTCGAAAAGCTCAGAAGCTAGGGCAGACGTAGCAGTGGACTCAAACGAAGGGTCGATAACGACAGTGGCCATACGACAGGTGATAGTAGGGCTGGCAGCACGAACTAAGTCGGACTCTGGGTTTGGAACGTCAGGAAGAGAGGAAGCTAGAGGAAACACAGGAAGGACGAAGTGCCATAGTGTGAGTGCCGGGGACAGGGGGAGGATGCGGACGAGGAATACGCTAACTAGTGCGAGCAGCACGAACAGGGGAGGCAGGTCGAGACGCAGGCTCACGACGCTCTGTAAGAGAGTCTGTCTGCTCAGTGTAAGGAGAAGGAGCGGGCAGTGGGGAGTCTGGGTGTAACTGTGGCTTCGACTGGTCAGGCCAACTCTCGTGCCTGCAACACCACCAGCTCCAGCAGCTCCAGTACCTCCAGTAAGAGCACCTCCAGGACCAGCAACTCCAGCACCTCCGGTACCTCCAGCTCCAGCGTCTCTAGCTCCAGGGTCTCTAGCTCCAGTGCCTGTAGTACCACCATCCCCAGCAGCTCCAGTACCTCCAGTACAAACACCTCCGGGACCAGCAGCTCCAGTACCTCCAGGACCAGCAGCTCCAGTGCATTCAGCTCCAGTGCCTCTATTGTTGTTCAGGATCCGTCACTTTGAGAGCTTATGACGAACTCGTTACTCAACTAAACACAAATCCGCTCGGTAGGATTGTGCGCCTCAGGCTTAGTTACCATCTCCAAGTTGAATCAGTCGTTAAGATGATCAATAGAGTGAGAAACATGTAAAAACGTCTAGCAGCCGCATGACTAGAATGATGGAGGAAGTACAAGCATTAGGGCATAGAAAGTTGGAGTTGGGGACCTCCAAGAGAACCATGAGAGGGAAGGGGTTCTCCAAGAGCTAGGGAATGATGGTAAGAAACTTCCTAGTAGTAAAGATGCAACCCTCATCATGAGGTCCTTGAGGTGTCACATGCAAAATCCAATCTAGTTGGATTTTGCCTAGGTGTTGCAACATTGGAACCCATGCTAGAAACTTCTAGCCACCCCAATCCAAAAGTCAAGGTTGCCTTCCCTAACCACCCAACCAAAAATCCCTTTATAGTCATGTCCCAAGTAATCACCCAAATTATATTTAACCCCAAAAGGTAATAAGAAATCCAAGTCTTGGAAATCTTGTTTCTTGGGCGATCTTGGTCGGAATAAGGCGATCTTGGTATCGTTGGAAAGCTCTGGATTTCTCTTGCATGATCAAGCATTTAGACTTAGAGAAAAACACAGAGATGGTAATATCCAACAACCATGCACATGTCAGTAGATCTGCACTGTGGATGCCCGATTGATCTTGGAGAGGGTTACAGGCGCGTTCGCCTGGGGGGTTATGGGCGCACTGACCCGCTACTGAAACAAGCCCTTTTATTCCAATGGTTTAGTGGTTGGGATTCTGACATGGTATCAGAGCGGTCTCGGGTCCGATTCCCGGTGTATGCACATGTAGGCTGTTGCCGCTGTGCTTAGTCCTAGGCCTCCCAGTGTGGGGGGGTGTCAGTAGATTTGCACTGTGGATGCCCGATTGATCCTGGAGAGGGTTACAGGCGCGTTCGCCTGGGGGGTTATGGGCGCACAGACCCGCTACTGAAACAAGCCATTTTATCCCAATGGTTTAGTGGTTGGGATTCTGACAGCAGAATGACATATGCCCATGCAATCAATGCACGCATGAATAGCACGAGCACTCGGCAGGACGTTAGGATGACATGCACTCAGAATGACGTGCATCCAACAAACTCCCCCTCAGACTAACGGACTGCATGCACACATACTCACATACATGCAAACTCTCATGCACACAATCACACATGCACTCATGACACTGCTGCCCATACTAGTGCAATGCCATGCCACACATCTTAGCACACTTCCAATGTGCGCTCGCAGGAAGTCTCTTGGTGAGAAAATCTGCCGCCTGCTTGCAAGCCTTCACATGGTGAAGCTTAACAATCCCCTCCTTCACCATCTGCCTCACCCAGTGCCACTTAATCTTCATGTGCTTTATCAACCCATTCAGGATAGGATTATTGGCCATGCCAATAGCAGCCTTGTTGTCAGAGAAAAGTGGTGTAGGTCCCTGCTGTTCAGCTCCCATGTCCTCCAGCAGCTTCCTCAGGAGCACGATCTCCTTGATAGCATGGTACATTGCCATGTACTCTGCCTCTCCGGAAGACTGAGCAATCTCACTCTGCTTCTTGGATCTCCAGCTCACTGGTCCACCTCCGACCATGCACACAAAGCCGCCAACCGATGACTGATCCTCATCCTCTGAGGCCCATGTGGTGTCGGTGAAGCACGACAGCTTCAAGGTTCCAGGCGTGACCCCATCTGCTCCAATCTGTTTCAGCTGGCCGCTAGCTGAAAACTGAACACCAGCAGATGCCGTCAATCTGAGGTAGCGCACCAAGCGCTTTGTCACCTCCAACTGCTCCTCAGTGGGCCGCTGCACAACTCTAGCCAGCTGCCCCACTCCGAATGAAGCATCAGGTCGCGTATGCACAGCTGCATACATCACACTCCCAATGAGTGACTGGTACTCATTTTGCTGCTCATCCTCGAGTACATCATCCTCCTCAACTGCCTTCTTCAGTTTGAAGCCCGCAGGGAACGGTGTCATCATAGTGTGACCCCCAGGAACGGTGTCATCACAGTGCGACCCCCAGCCACACCATACAGCTCCATGACACCAGAGATGTAGTGTGACTGATGCACCTTGAGCCACCTCCTCTCAACATCCCTCTCAATCTGCAGCCCCAAGTAGTAGTGGACATCCCCCAGCATCTTGCACTTGAAGTTGTCCATCAGCAGCTTCTGTGTCCTCTCAATCTGCTCCATGGAAGGTGAGAACAGCAGTATGTCATCGACATACACCATCAGCAAAAGCAACTGCTCCCCCTCTCCAAGCAGAAACAAGCTGTGATCCGCCAGGGACGTCTTGAAGCCTCCACCCAGCAGCACCTCCTCCAGCTTCTCGTACCAACACTTGGGCGCTTGCGTAAGGCCATAGATGGCCTTCTTAAGCTTGCACACCCGGCTGGTCCCATTCCCATAGCCGTCGGGCTGCGCCATGTAGATATCCTCCAGCAGCACTCCATTGAGGAACGCAGTGGTGATATCCATCTGCTTCACGTGCCATCCCTTCACAGCTGCGCCAGCCATCAAAGTCCTCAATGTCACTGGCTTAGCAACGGGAGCGAAGATCTCCCCAAAGTCGAACTTCTCTTTCTGTTGAAACCCCTTGGCCACCAAACGGCTCTTGAACCGCTCCAACGCACCATCAGCACCACTCTTCACCTTGAAGACCCACTTGCTGCTGATCGGCCGTCGCCCCTCGGGTAACTCAACAAGCTCCCAAGTCCCATTCTCAATGAGACTGTTGAACTCCGCATCCATGGCAGCCTTCCACTCCTTCTGGGGTCCACTTAGTGCCTCCTCCAATGTGGCTGGCTCTTCAGGCAGAGGTGTGAAGAAACAGAACGCCATCTCCTCATCCTCTCCCTCATCCGCCTGAACCGCCCTGACACCTTGCTTGGGTCCTCCCAAACGGCTATACTTCAGCCTTGAGGGTGCTACTGCCACTCTCTTCTTGCGGGTTGCAATCTGCGGCCCATGTGGTGAAGCTCCTCTCTGCACACTCCTCTTTGTGACCTTGGCGGTTGCAGCAGGCTCGGGCTGAGATGGTGAGTCCACACATGCCGACTCATTCTCCAACCCCTCCTCTCCAGTAGGACCAGAAACTTGCTGCTCTCCACCGCCACTATGGTCACTGGTCAGCTCTGACCCGCGGAGTTCATCAAGGTGCAGCTGAACCTCCTCCATTGCAGACCGCTCAAACTCCTGCAGACGCAAGCCAATCTGCACCTGCTGCTGCTGGTGCCGGTCCTTGTACATGACGTCCTCCACAAACTTGACGTCACGGCTGAGCAGCGACTTCTTGCTCTTGGGGTCCCACATCAGCCACCCCTTCGAGTCAGGAGTTATCTTATGATGGACAGCCCACACAGCAGCAACTTCCAGCTTGTGCCTCTGCTCCTTAGGCACCATCACAAGCCCCATGCAGCCCCACACCCGCAGCATGTCAATGGATGGCTTCTTTCCAAGCCAGCGCTCGTATGGCACCCAATGCTTGTCGCCAACATGAGTCAAGACCCTGTTCTTGACCGTGATGACATGGCGAACGACGTCAGGCCAGAACTTGTAGGGCATCCCGGCAGCCCCCAACAGAGTCTTAGCCGCCTGGCCAATGGGCCAGTTGGCGCGCTCAGCTATGCTGTTCTGCTGCGGTGTTCCACGGCAGGTCAGTTGGTGTCGGATGCCATTCCTCTTGAGAAACTTGGTGAATTCCGCTCCAAGGAACTCTCCACCACGGTCGCTCCTCAGCACCTTCACCAGCCGCATCGCTTGCCGCTCCACCATCGGCAACCAATCCTCCTTGATCGCCGCTGCAGCATCGCTCTTCTTGGACAAGGGACGTGCCCACGTGAAACGGCTCCATTCGTCCACCATGGTGAGGAACTACAGCACTCCCCCAGTCCCCTCAGTCCTCATAGGACCCACCAGATCCATGTGCACCACCTCCAATGGTGCCTTGGCTGATCCCTCCGCATGTGGAAACGGGAACCGCGCAAACTTGTTTTGCATGCACGCCTCACAGCTGCCATAGTGAGCGCCATCTCCTTGCAGTTGCAGGCCGTGCACGCACTTCTCCTTGTGCATCACCTCCAGTGTTGAAACAGCCACGTGTGCGAGCCGCCGATGCCAAGTCTCCCAATCCGCTTGGCCCGAGGTAGCCGACGCCTTCACCGCCGCACTTCCTCCAATCAGCTCCTCTCCTTGCACACCTTGCTGCTCCTCCTCGATGACACTCTCCTCCATAGATGCCGCCGCTGCCGTCTTGCCCGATTTCCGCCAAGGGAGGACCGGGATCTGCCACATCCGCTTGTGGACATCTCCCTTCCGCCGCAGGTCCCAAAAGAGGCGCTCATCGTTGTAGGCACGATAGCGCTCCGAGCCAATCGTCTCGGTGTTCACACCCGCATCTCCCAACCGGCTAGTAGAAATCAGGTTCGCGCACAAGTCTGACACCCACAGCACATTCTTCAGCCCCACGAGCTCTCCATCCGCTCCCATCAACTTTGCGCACCCCATGCCCATGACCTTGGCCTTGGCGCCCGTAGTGGATGTGACTGTAGAGATGGGTGCGGGCTGAATCTCATCGAGTAGGTCCGCACGAGGAGTCATGTGCCAAGAGCTTCCGGAGTCAATCATCCAATGGGTGAGGGGGTGTAGGAGAACCTTGGCAGCCATAGCGAGGTCAGTTGCGCCTTCGTTCACGAAGAAGAAGAACCCGGCCTTCCGCTCCTCAGATTTGCCGCCTTTCTCCTCCTCCTCCTCTCCACTAGCTCCCATGACTCTCCCACTCCTCGTGCCACCAGGCTGGTTGCTTGATGAAGGCGGGGTCCAATCCTTGGGTCGTTGGTAGCACTTCCACCAACGATGCCCGCGCTTCTTCCTGTAGAAGCACACCTCCCCTTGACCCCCGCCGCCATCCTCCTTAGGGTTGTCCTTGTTCTTGCCCTTCCACTTCTTCTTGAAGCCACTCTTTCCACCTCCAACTCCATAGCCAGCCCCCTCCTCCGAGCGCTCCACACTCCGCCGCCGCAAGATATCCACTAGGATGCGCGCGCGAATGTAATCCACGCTCCACTGGGGCTGTTGAGAGTTGAGATGATCGCAAGGACAGACCACGACTCCGGGAGCCGTATCACGATCTCCACCCATTGCACGAGCTCCGGGTACACCACACCGCCGCCTTGGAGCTTTGTGAAGATGTCGCGCATCTCGTCCAACACCAGTTGCATCGGCTCTCCATCAACGAACTTGATGTCGCGCAGCCGCCGCGCGAGCAGCACGATGCAGGTAGCATGTGTTGGTGAGTGCACATCCAGAAGCTTCCTCCAAGCCGTGGGGCCACACTATGGATCACCCAAGAGGTCCTTGATGTGGTCAAGTTGGCGTCCTCCAACCGCTTGCACCATGAGCATGTACGCGTCGAACGATCGCTTTATCCACGCTCCTTTCAGCTCCGCGGCCTCCGGCATCTTCTCCTTCCCCTCCACCAGATCCAATAGCTTGTATTGGGTATACATCAGCCTCATGCGGAAACTCCAGTGCTCGTAGTCCTCCCCCATGAATTTCTCAATAGAGAAAGCCTTCACCGGATCCACGATTGTAGGAGATGGTGTAGAAGTTGAGGGTAGCGTAGGGTTGGCTGGTTGGCGAGTCCCCACTTTTCCACCATCACTTCCCCCCTGCTCTCCAGCCTCTATACTTCTATCCATCTCGCCACTAGCACCTCCGGAGTTCGTACCAACCATATTGAGGCCTTATGAACGGTAAAACTTGAGAAATCGTTTGGAGAGAATTCTGCCAGAAATTTTGATTCTACGAAAATTGCTTTCGCGGACAAGATACTTCGAACTAAAACACGGTTTGACCACCAATCAAAATTTCGCGAGCAGAGCTACTAGAAAATGGTCTCACTCGACAACATTGGTTGAGACTTCATGACGATTCGTTGTCTCAAAGTCGACTACCTGCTCTGATACCACTTGTTCAGGATCCGTCACTTTGAGAGCTTACAACGAACTCGTTACTCAACTAAACGCAAATCCGCTTGGTAGGATTGTGCGCCTCAGGCTTAGTTACCATCTCCAAGTTGAATCAGTCGTTAAGATGGTCTATAGAGTGAGAACCATGTAAAAACGTCTAGCAGCCGCATGACTAGAATGATGGAGGAAGTACAAGCATTAGGGCATAGAAAGTTGGAGTTGGGGACCTCCAAGAGAACCATGAGAGAGAAGGGGTTCTCCAAGAGTTAGGGAAGGATGGTAAGAACCTTCCTAGCAGCAAGGATGCAACCCTCATCATGAGGTCCTTGAGGTGTCACATGCAAGATCCAATCTAGTTGGATTTTGCCTAGGTGTTGCAACATTTGCAACCTATGCTAGAAACTTCTAGCCACCCCAATCCAAAAGTCAAGGTTGCCTTCCCTAACCACCCAGCCAAAAATCCCTTTATAGTCATGTCCCAAGTAATCACCCAAATTATATATAACCCCAAAAGGTAATAAGAAATCCAAGTCTTGGAAATCTTGTAACTTGGGCGATCTTGGTCGGAATAAGGCGATCTTGGTATCGTTGGAAAGCTCTGGATTTCTCCTGCATGATCAAGCATTTAGACTTGAAGAAAAACATAGAGATGATAATACCCAACAGCCATGCACAATGACATATGCTCATGCAATCAATGCACGCATGAATAGCACGAGCACTCGGCAGGACGTTAGGATGACTTGCACTCAGAATGACGTGCATCCAACATCTAGCGGCAGGCCCCCTAGCTCCAGTAGCGCCCCTCCGAAGGCGGGTACACTGAGCAAACCATTTGCGCAGTTTCAGTGGAGAGAGGCTCCCGCCGTGATGAGGCACCCGTAGGACCTCCAGTAGACACAGTACCTCCAGGCTCAGCACCCCCAGACTCAGTACCCCCAGGCTCCGCACCCTCATGCTCAGCACCCCCAGAGGAGAGACGGTAAAAGGGAACTAACTTGTCAAACGTGACGTCCTGAGAGGGCAGGACATGGTGTGTGGTGGAGGGTAAAAGTGCCAGCCAGGCGCGTTAGGGGGAAGCCAAGGAAGACACAGGGAATGGCGCGGGAGGAGAGCTTGTCCGCGGACGTATCGTGGACAAAGACACGAGAACCCCAGACCCGGAACATCGATGCATCGCCAACCTCCCCTGTCCAATGCAGTGTAGGCAAGGTCTCCAGCGAGGAGACACAGGGCTAGAGGTTGAGCTGATGCGCAGCATGACGAACAGCAAACGACCACAGAAAATGGGGAGCAGCCGCATGGATCATAGAGGTTCGACCGACCTCCATGACTAAGCCAATGCGGTGCTCAGCAACCTCATTCTGCGGCGGAGAGGCCGGAAGCGTGAATGACTGGCAAATGCCCTCCCCATGATAAAAAGTCTTGCAAGAGGTCGGAGGCAAACTCACCACCTCTGTCAGAGTGCATACACAGGACAGGAAGGCCCTCGCAGAATCGCTCGCGGAGCTGGAGACGGACTGCGCGGATCCAAGGGATCAAGACATCAGGGACCTCCTCCTTGTTACGCAAGGGGAAGACCATGGTGTAACGCGAACAATCGTCAACAACCAGCAGAAAGTATCACTCGCGGCCCTGTCCACGGACGCGGGCTGGTCCTTACACGTCCATGTGGAGGGTCTGCACGGGAGTAGTCGTCGGGGGAAACGAGGAGTGAGGAGCAGTGCGCTGCCACCTCTCAACACAGAGAAGGTAGGGAGGGGAAGGCGAGGGTGGGAGGGGAGGCAGAGACCTGGGAAGACCAGAGACAAGGAGGCGGGAGTGCATGCGACGGAGGCGTGGTAGGGAGGGGTGACCTAGGCGGTGGTGCCAAAGGGGAGTCTGGTGAGACAGGAGGCGACACGAGCAGGGGGCTGCTAACGGACCTGACGCGGACACCTGACCAGACGCAGCTACCTGAGTAGGCTCAGTAGTCAGTGTGTATAGTCTCAACCCAGGCCGACGGGTGAACGTGGCCAGGTGACGGCCAGTTTGGGATCTCGTACAGATCACCACACGCTGTCCTCTAGGGGTAAATGTATCAACACATTCATCCCGAAGGACTGCATTGCTCACCAAGTTCGTAGAGAACAAGGGGAGGTAAAGACCTGACAGTGAGCCAGACAGAACCACTAGACACGCTACAACAGTGGAGGAACGTGCAAGAATTGGGCCCCCAGAGGGCCAGAGAGACTGCAACTAGTGCTAGGAGTGGTGTGACTGTGGTGCTGTTGCGAAAGAAGCAGCGGGAAGGACCTGAGTCAAGCATGAAGGTGTGCAAGGCCTCAGCAGGTGCAGTACCAGGGAGAGCAGACTCACTAGCACCTAGAGCAGCAGCCTCTATACCTGGGTCGGGCGGCACACATTAGTAACAGTCACCCTCAGCACTAACAGTCAAATCATACATGGCCGCAAGGATAGCGTCTTAGTCAAGAGCAAAGATACCAACACCCTGGCTAAGCAGCTCCAGCCAGCAGGGGAGCTCAGTCGCGTCAGGAAACTTTATGCGCCAGGCATCATCAAGATGGGAGAAGCAACGGGCTTGTGTCTGACCAACATTCCCGCATGTCTGACCAGCGTGGTGACCTGTGCAAATGACGTACTGGCAGCGAGCACTACCCCTAGACGCCCCACGCTGAGCAAACCACTCACGAAGCTCTTGGGGCGTAGGGGTCTCACGCGGATGCTGCTGCTACTGCCTCTGACCCACACCAGAACCCGCCTCTGACCGGTTCCACCCCGACCGCCACCACTGCCGCTTCCACCACTCCCACTGAAGCCACCACTGCCGCCGCCACCACTCCCACTGCCGCAACCACCGCCGCCACTAACGCCTCCACTCCCACCACCACTCCCTCCGCCACCACCGCCACCTCCGCTGCCTCCACCGCCTCCACTGCTACCTCCCCCACCACCCTTGCCTCCCTTGCCCCTACCGCCGCGGTGCCTCCCACTAGGAGCAGACGCAGCCCCGACCTCCTCAGCATGAAGGAAGTCCACAGCAGCAGCAGAAGCGTAGGAGGGGGCAAGGGGGGAGGGGGAGCACCCCTCAAAGAAGGGAGGGCGAGGAGTGCCACGAGCAGCACCTACATCGACTATACTAGTACTAGCTGCAAGGAGGTGCTTCTCGAGCAGGTCAACAGTGAGATCTGTGGGGTCCATGGCAAGAAAGAGGTCCTTGACTATGCTTAGAGAGTCAGGGAGGCGGGTGACGATGAAGTAGAGAGCGATGTACATGGGGAGAGGTTTCTTGACTAGAAACTTGGCGGGAAGCACGGCGTGGTAGCGAGTGTCACTAGTGCGAAGGTGGGTGATGAGGTCGTCGACTGTGGCAAAGGCAGACAGCTCGGGAAAGAGATAGGGCAGTATAAGGCGGCCAAGAGCAGCAGTGGCAGGGGAGGAATAACGAGCGACTACAGCGTCGTACAGGGCTTCAGCAGTCTTGTGCTGGCCAAAGTGAGCGCGTTTGTCTAACGGTAGGTGGTTGGGAACAGTTACATGAGCAGCAGCGTCACGGGTAAGCCACTGTGAGCGAGTCACACTGTCAGCTGTGTCGGGAGGGGCGAGAGAGGCTCCAGACGTGTCGTCAAACAACGAAACGCCATCTCTACAATCGCTCAAGAGAATGCTGAGTGTAGCCATAGCTGGTAGAGCAGGGTGGCGCGCGAGTAGCAGGGCAGCATGCAAGCAAGGACGCCGCGATGGGCAGGGCGGCACGCAAGCGCTAGGGAAGCGCGTAGGGCAGGGCGGGGCGGCGCACGGCTAGGGTAGGGCGGTGCAGTTGGTTGAGCGGGGCGGCGGCCAACAAGGCAGCGTGCGGGCGGGGCAGGGCAGGGCGGCGCGCGGGCAGGGCAGGGCAGGGTGGCGGCCAGCAGGCGGCACATGGGCAGGGCAGGGCAGGGCGGCAGCCAGCAGGGTGGCGCGCGGGCAGGGCAAGGCGGGGCGGCGGCTAGCGGGGCGACGCGCGGGCAGGGCAGGGCGGTGCGATGCGAGCAGGGCAGGGCGGCACGCGGGCAGGAAGGGCGGCGCATTTGCAGGGCATGGCCAGGAGCGCGCGGGCGCAGGGGAGGGCGTCCGCGGGGCGGTGTGACATGGGGCAGGGCCAGGAGCAGGCGGGCGGCGTGACGTAGGGCAGGGCATGCGCGGGCGGCGGGACGCAACGCAGGGCATGCGCGGGGGGGGCGCAACGCGAGGCAGAGCCAAGTGCGCGCGGGCGGCGCGATGCGGGGCAGCGTGACGCAGGGCAGGGCGTGCGCGGGGCGGCACAACGCATGGCAGGGCAGAGCGCGTGCGAGCGGCGTGACGCGGGGCAATGCAGAGCGCGCGCTGGGCAGCGCACCGCAGGGCAGGGCAAGACAGCGTGGCAGCCAGCAGGGCGGCGCGCGGGCAGGGGAGCGCGACTGGTGGGGCAGCGCGACGAATAGGGTAGGGCGCTACGGGCAGGGTAACGCGCTACGGGCAGGGTACTGTACGGTGGGCCCTTAAAAAAACGGTCCTAGAACAGGACCTGCTCTGAAACCATGTCAGAAGACTAAGTGAGGGTGAATGCATTGAAGAAAAAGGCGGTACAAGTACTAGCCCTAGTTGGGTCGTACCCCTTATGGGCTACCCCACTACAGCCTACACATCTTAACCATTATAACAGTTTGACAGCGGGAATAGTGATCAACGCGAGTGTCACGAGATGGTAA